ACCAGGGGAGCCCAGATTATTATTGTACCCACCTTCATATTAGTTTCCCAACCTCCAATCTCACCTCTGCCAGTCTCTCAACCACTGCTAGAGTGACAGTCCTAAATTCAAATTTGGTCATGTTATTTCCTTAACTATAAGCCGTCATTTATTCAAATGCATCCTTTTGATCCTTCCTTTATGCTCTTTACCTGGAACTCTTGTCCTCGCCTCCTCACATTGACAAATATGCCAATATTGACAATATTGCCAAGTTTCTGGTCCTCTTCTAACAGCCCATTCAGCAATGTCTCCTCTGTGAAGCCTTCTCTGACCACTAGATGAGAGGCTTTGGTGAACCTTGTTCTTACTTCTTACAGGGTTCATTACTCTGAGTGCCTCAATCTGTCTTGACTGTGTATATCCATCTCTGGAGCAAGAGGGTGTGCTACTGAGCCCAGCACAACATTTAGCAGAAAGCAGGTTGTTAATGTTTGTTGACTTAGGAGATGAGCAATAGGGAGGAGCTGGAGGTCTGAGCAAACCTGATCCTCACTTTGCAATATAGGAAGAGAGAGAAGGGTGTGCCTCTTTCAGAGCCTGAGAAATGGCTACTGGGTCATGAGCTATGTGGACCACTAGGAGAATCCACCCTTAAACTGAAGAGTCATCTTCCTATGGATATAAGGAGGTGACCTCAGGTGCCCCAACCACAGAATATATGTAGGTCAATTTTCCATAGTGGCTTCTTGCTAGCTTTACAATGTTCCCTCTGCCACTTTCAGGAGCTGCGGTGGCCCACCCGTTAAATTAATGTCCTGACCATCCCCACCCCTGAGTGCCAGGAGTCAGGAGGAGTCTGAAACTCTTTTCCAATCTCACGTGGTCAAAGGGTCAGAACCTCAGCATTCCCCCTGGGAGGTATCCCTCTTTTCCAGGAATGCCCTCCATTGATCTCCACCCTTTCCTAACAAGTATCTAAAACCTTGCTGCAGCCATTTGAGCCCAGCCTTCTCCTGGCCACCCACTAGGCAGATCTTACTTATCTTTATCTGTAAAGTACCTGGAACTGAGCATATGCTCATGAACTAAACACATGTGTTCATGGGTAACCTGGGTTTCAGTGAGGCTAGACTAGTATTTCTCTCAAGTGCACAGAGACCCCACTTGGTGCCATATGTGCCACCACCCCCCACCCCTTTTTTTCACCAAATCTCTTCCTCTCCAATTACAGTCAAAGAGAAGACATATAAACTGTGAGGCTGTACCAACCAGCCCAGCAGACAGACAACAGGGCCAGAGAGCCTATCCCTGCTGCTGATACAAACAATAGCCAAAATTCAACCCATCTGCTCAACAGTGAACTGTGGACAGCTGGGAGCCTCTCTAGATCACTGCAATGTGTGGCTTGGCCACAGAACTGACATAACAAGGTGTGCCTGTCCCTGTCTGTTTCTTGGGGAGAATCTGTGCTCAGAAACACTCAGAAGTGTCTAGGAGATAGACACAGCAGGAGAGGAACCCAGGGACTAGGTCTCCAAGAGGAGCTCTCATTCCTTTCATAAAGAGACAGAAAGAGAACTTGTGGAGCTCTCAGGGCTGGGCCCAGGCCTGGTTCAGCTGCAGAGACGCGGCCACGCCAATTAAACAACTGGTGTCATGAGGAAAGGAGGGAGGGGACTCCCTTCAGGCAAATTCCCACCCGGGACAGGAGGTTCCTGCAGCTGTGGCAACAGCAGCACCAACAACAGAACAGGGACCTCTTCCTCTTCCTCCCACAGAGAACTAATGCTTAAATTAGCACCTTGGAAACACCCAGATCTGCGGGCTGCGCTTTTTCTCCCAGCTCCTGTCACTCCCCTAGGCCTCCTATTCAAGGGCAAGTTTCTCTTTCAAGTAAAATTAAAAAGATGTTTTCCATCTAGAGTTCATCTTTCCAAGTAAGGAATGGCCCCTGGATTCTTCCAGCCACTTTAGGGTGGGATAGGGTTATTTGCTGATCAAACCCATGTGACAGGCTACTATCAGTAAGTACAGCTTGGTCCTGAAGGGGCAATGATACTGACACTAGTATTGCCCTGTTTCCCTCAGGATTTAAGGAGACAGCCCCCACTCTGCCTTCAGAGGGCCTCACCTGAGCGGGGTGAGCGTGAACAGTAGCTTCTGTGGAACTGTGAGCTCCAGAAGTCAGGGCTATATCTGTATTGCTAACCACTGTGTCCCTAGTACCTAGCACAGTACCTGGAATACAGCTGGTGCTCACCAAGTATTTGGTGAATGAATTTGCTGGAACAATGACATCAGGACACTATGATATTCTTTGGAAGAGCAAGGAACTATTATTTAAAGAAATAGTTTGTCTTCACTTCATAAATGAGAAAACTGAGTCCAGAGAAGAGTGATTTCCTAGAGGTCTCAATAAATAATGGCAAAAAATGAACTAGGTCACAGCTGAGTCTTAGACCCTGGTTTTTATGGTCTACCCAAACACCCCTAAAGAGCTACTCTGCTCTTCTCTTCTGCAGTATGCCACCTTGATTCCTTACGCCCTGAAATGAAGACTCGTAGGGAAACTCCACACAAGATTCTATTGGTCTCAGTAGCACAGAGAGCACTTAAGGAGTTCTGTGCGTGCGTGCATGCATGCTAAGTCGCTTCAGTTGTGTCCAACTCTTTGCAACCCCATGGACTGTAGCCCACCAGGCTCCTCTGTTCATGGGGATTCTCCAGGTAAGAACACTGAAGTGGGTTGCCATGCCGTTCTCCAGGGATCAAACCCGTGTCTCACGTCTTCTGGATTAGCAGGCAGGTTCTATACCACTAGCACCACCTGGGAAGCTGAAGGAGTTCTAGGAATCCTCAACTTTGATGTGGGAACAGAGATGGGGAGGTAGAGACATGCAGGGCAATGGCTATGATCCCTAAGTGGGGGATGACTGTATTGCTGTTTCCATAAGATTCAGCCTCAACAAAGTATCCTCTCGCAGAGAAGTGCTCCTTTAGACTTCGAGAAAAGAGTCCGAGCTGACTGCCTGCCTCCTTGCCAGAAGCACTTCTACTCTGGAACCACACAGACCAGAAGCAGTTCAGAAGTCTTCTGAGGCCACTACTCACTCAAACAAACCATCGTTGATAACTTCATTCAACAACAGAGGCATCAGGGACAATTGGGGAGCCTGGTGACCCCTTCCTTCTCCCCGCTCCCTGGAAATCAGCTATTGCCTCCCATCTTAGGAACCCCAGATAGGAGGCAAAAACCAACTCATTGCTCTCTTCTGATGCCTTGGATCTCTTCCTCTGCTCCTTCATCTGCCCTCTTTTTGATTTTTGCTTAGATAAGAACTGGAAGGGCAGTCTAGGTTGACAAGCCAGGTTGGCTGGAAGGATAATCTAGAAAGGAACATTCTCTTAGCCCAGCCTGAAGTTCTTCAGGTTCATGGTACAGACTTCTTACTAGGATTTTCTGGCCCTCAAACGATCCAACAACGGCATCAGGCCAGGAAAGAAGTCCATCAGCATGTCTTTCCCCTGTTTAATACTGGACACTTCTGTAGAACTTCTCTGTCTGGGCTTCTAGAACTGTCTAAGTCATCAGGAAAGGGGGAAAAAACGACACATCTCCTGCCAGGTGGCCTCTAATGATTTCTCTACCATCTCCAAAAGGTGTGGCTTAGAGTAGGTCACGGGTCCCTGCCAAGGTCTGTCTTGGCTGCTGTAATGGACACATTACTTGCTCAGAATACCACAAAGCACGTCTGTCAGCCAGGGGCGGGGTAGGGGTGGGGGGCAAAGGTAGAATCTGTTCCTCACCTTCACTTAACACAGAGGGGAGAGGGTTAGGAAGCCTAGAGCTTCAAGACTTGGAGAGCTCTGTTCAGCTCCAGCTGAGCTCAGAGAATACCGCACCCACATCTTCAGATTCTCGGCCTGCCTTGCCTCCTTCCAGCTCCCACCCGGACTCCAAGTGGGAAAGAAGGAAAAGCAAAGCTAACAGAGCCGAGGCACTCCCCGCCTTCTCCCTCTCCCTATACCAGTGGGAGAGACGCCGCCGCTAGGCCTCAGCGTGTCTCCCCGGGCAAATGTACAAGCCAGTCCGGTATACACGGGGAGCCGACGCCAGTGGGAATGGTCTCCCCCAGCCCAGCCTCCGTGCACGGCCCTCCCCCTTCCATCCCCTCCGCGCCGGCAGCGATGACATCATTCTTCCCTGACTCCCGGTCCGCGGGCAGGATCGGAGCCCAGCAAGGACTCCCAGCACGCAGGCCTAGGATGCTCCGGGCTCTTCCGAACCGGTGGGCACAGGCGGCTCCTGTGCGGCCCCGCCCCCTCTCCCGCCGGTTCTGAGCTCTCTCATCTGAGCCCTGGATTCTCCATCTCGCCGCCGTGCTCTCTTCTTCCCGGCTCCTGCATCCCCAGCCTAGATTGCGTGCACTCTCCTTCGGAGAAGAACCGAATTCCCGGGTCCTGCATGGACACCGTCCCCCCTACGGGTCCTCGGCCCGGGCCCCGCGTTCCCACCCATTGCCAGTGAACTGTCGGGCAGGCCCCTCCTCCTCTACAAACCTATTCGCGTCCCTCAGACTGACTGCTCCTGGCCCCCTCCCCCGCTCTGAGCATCACAGGCCTCTAAGGTCTAAACGCCTCCCTACCTCCCATCCTCGCCCCCTGGGCCTGCCACCAGCGGTGCCCCGTGACAGTTCCCTTCCTTTCCCCGCTATGGGCCTCCACTAACGTTGTGCACCACTGTGCCCCCGCTCGGTTCCATCCGACGGCGATCCCCATAGCTCCTTCGGCCTGTCTCCGCTGACAGTGCTCTCCGCCCTTACAGGCCTCTTTGCTGTCATCCCACATATTCTCCCACGGTTTTCTCGTCCTACAAGTCCCCCTCCCACCGGCGATGCGTTTTCTTGGCTCTCTACCCCATCCGAGCCGTCCGCACAGTCCCCAAGGCTTGACTCCCTCCCTCCCCCTCCGGCAGCGCCCCCTCCCGGCCCCGGCCTGCCCGCCGCCCGCCCCCTCACCAGCGGCTGCATCTCCGAGTGCGCGGTGGGCACCTGGAACCGGTCGATCTCCTCCATCATGGTGCCGGCGGGCGAGCGGGCCGGGGGCCGGGCGCGGCCGGGGACGCCGACGGGGACCGCGCGGGGCGGCGGCCCCAGGTGCCGGGTGGGTGGTGCAGACTAGGCCGCCCCGGACCAGTCGGGCAGACGGAGGGTTGGCCGCGGGGCAGGAGATCTGCAGGCGGGCTGAGGCCGGCGTGGCTCCGTCGGCTTGCCTAGCGCTACAGCGTCAGTGGCCCGGCAAAGCCGCAGGTCTTGCCTCGCCTCCTCCTCCGCCGCCGCCTCCTGTCAGCAGCTCAGCCACTGCGGTGACTCGGCAACTCCACTTCCGGGTCCGGGACACCGCCTGAATCCTGCATTATTCATGAGGAGGCGGTGTCTGGAGCCCGAGCCCCTCCCGCATGCAGGAGTTCTAGTGGCGGGGCCGCCGGCCGTCCTGCCTAAGGGGGCGGGGCCTGGTGGAGCCGGTGGTTCCCCGCGCCCCCAGCCCCGCCTTCCCTTCGTGCCGGGAGGGGGCATCCGAGGCGCCTGCGCCTTGGCTGCTGGCTAGTTGCTGGGTAACCGCGTCGAGGGAGGAGACGATTCCCTTCTGCAAGGGCGCGGAGGACCCACAACGTCGGCTGTCCCCAAAGAACCCCTGAGACTGGGAATTGAAGTGAAAGAGAATCTGGATTTTCTGTGCATCATTGAGGGGACGGACAAACTTCTTGTCCTCAGGCAGAGGAGCGTTTTGTAGGCTCTCCAAGTGTTGAGGTGCTCCCTGCTTCTTCAAAGATGCCCCACAAACAACCGCCTCCTCGTAAGCAGGTAACACACCTCGACCTGCTCTGTCTTGATGACCTCTGACCTTCGCTGCCAGTGATCATCCCTCTGCTACTGACGCTTCATCTTCCTATCCTTGTTGACTTTCTCCCTGTGACTCCTCGCCTGTGTTCCCAGTGACCTCTGACCCGGTCACTGCTCTCTCCCACTAACCCTAGCCTCCTCTCCCACACTGCCCCGATCCGCTCTTTCCTACCACTCTTTCACTTATCCTCTCACCATTCCATTCCCTCACTCCGTGACCCATCATGACCAGCCCATCCTCCTCAAGTCCCCACCCCCTCTTACCAATATGTCCCTCATTGCCCTCACAGTCTTGTCCCAGAGAATTTATTTTTCCCGTCCTTTGCTGAGTGCACAGTGATGGGCTAGGTGGAGACGCAGGCCTTCCGGAGCTCACAGAAGAAGTGCAGAACTGTGCAGGAGACACAGGTTATGTGGGGTTTTATGCTTCAGGTCTTCTGTGTTGGGAGACTTGTGAGGAACGCGCATTCAGACAAAGACCAAGAGAAAAGAAGCTCTATTCCCATCTCCTTTCACACACTGCACACTCCAAACTAGCTCATCCAGACTGCCCTTGTTGCCACCTGGACAGATGTCATCTCTTCTCACAGGAAACCTAAGAGTCACCCCTCTTAACCCACCCAGCTCACCCTGGAAGGAGAAGTAAGGCCCAGCTTCTTGAGGAGCTGTCTGTGGCGAAGACACTCAGTCCTTCAAGGATCACTTTTTCCAAACTTCTTACGAATTATCGGCCTTCCCTGATAGCTCAGTCAGTAAAGAACCCACCTGCAATGCAGGAGACCTGGGTTCAGTCCGTAGATTGGGAAGATCCCCTAGAGAAGGGAAAGGCTACCCACTTCAGTATTCTGGCTTGGAGAATTTCATGGACTCTATGTATAGTCCATGGAATTGTAAAGAGTCAGACAGGACTGAGTGACTTTCACTTTACGAATTATCATCTTATGATTAATATGCAGTTTCTTGCTTTGTGAGGCAGGGCTCCTATTTATTTATTCTTAAATAATATCAAAAAATTATATTTTGATATTTGGAGACCGTATCTGTGTGCATGCTGTTTATGACTTTACATATTTGGGTCTGGCTTCTTCTATATTGGGTTTCCCAGGTGAAACAGTGGTAAAGAATTGGCCTGCAAATACAGGAGATGCATGAAACTCAGGTTTGGTCCCTCGGTCGGGAATATCCCCTGGAGTAGGAAATGGCGACCTGTTCCAGTATTCTTGCCCAGATAATTCCATGGATGGAGGAGCCTGGCAGGGTACAGTCCATGAAGTGGCAAAGAGTCAGACATGTCTAAGCGACTGAGCACGCACCCCTCCATATTACTTGCCTGGTCTCCTTTGCTTCTTTCATCTGGCCTTCCATAGCAGATGCGCCCACCATTCTTAGATCTCTGCAACCATGGAAAGGCTGCTTTTCCAATATGGCCTTGCCCTAGTTTTATATCAGGGTTGAACTGTGTTTTGAAGCTCATATTGTCCTTGGGGCTACTGACTCTTAATTGACATGCAGTTTGTTTTCATTTTGGCATTGCTGCGGACTGGTTCACATACAACACAATGGACCATTTTAGTTGTATATGTTGACAGGTTTTACAAAGTTATACAGTTGTGAGCCACTACCACAATAAAGATATAGCACACTTCCTCTACTCCCCAAAGTTTCCTTGTGCCTCATCCCAGTCCATTCTCCCCAACTTCCTGGTCCCAAGGAATTACTAATCTGCTTCTGTCAACTACAGATTGGGTTTTTCTCGGGGTTTGAACAAGCTTGGGAATCAGCTTCTCCAGTCCATTAGGGGAGAGATTAGAGGTTTTAGGTAAACTGCGAGTGGAGAGAGGTGACAGGAGACAGAAACGGGGGTCAGCTGGCCTTGCACACATCAGTGCTGCCGCTTTGGAAGGAAGGGTTGTTTTATAACAGGGTAAATATACTTGTGTGGGATGTGAGCGGAAGCTGGGTTGTGCTAGGTTATATTCATCACCTTTTTGTCTCCATGAGGCCTATAGCCTGGGTCAGTTGTGAACTGGGTGTGGGACAACCTAGAGAACCTTGAGAAGTCCCTGTCCTCTGGCAACTCAGGCCTGTGGGGGAGACAGAACAAAGGCATATAAAGATAAGGGAGGGTGCGATCCCTGGGGTTGAAAGGGAGAGAGGTATGCAGGTTGGAGCAGCAGAGAAGCTTCGGGAAGGAGGCAGCTATGACTTGGAGGCCTGCAGTGGAGAGGGAAGGTCAGGATTGGATTTGTTAGGGGACGGAGAAGAATTTAAACTCCATTGTTTGTATCAGTGATCAAGTCTTCTGTTGGCTCCCTCTTGCTCTCAGAATGAAGTCCCAAAAGTCCAACTTCTTTGTATGGCCTAGAAGGCCTTGGCAGGTCTAACCTTTGCTACCCACCTGACTTCAGATCTCCTCGTTGCTCTCTGAAGATTCCTTAGTTCCACCACACCTGAAGTAACCTCACTTCCTGGAAAATGACATCCACTCTCTCGTTCTCCTCTAAGCCTTTGACACTGCTATTTCCTCTGACTGCTTGGTACAGTCTTTTCTGTCTGCTCCCACCTGCCCCATGCCAACCTGCCCCAAATCTCTCCTTAATCTCCTGTTCATACATCACATATCAGTTTGCGCAGCATATTCTCCTATCAAGGGTTAAGGTCCCTTTCTGGAGGCAGAATGTAGTGATATCCCCACTAGACTGTAAACTCTGATGTCAAGGATCTTGTCTGTCTCATTCATTGTTGATTCCCCTGAACCTAGCACAATGCCTGGAATATATTAAATCCTGAAAATGGGTGGAATATGAATCCTGAATGCTTCCAATTGTTGTTTGGAAATTTTGATCTGGGTGAGTTTGAAGGATAGGAAAGGGTGAGCCTTGGATGAGGAGACTGGTGGGAAGTGATAACAAGGAAATGTGACTGTAGAAGCACACTTTTCTGGGTTTATATTTATACCTGCTTTGGTAGTAAGGCTGTGAATGGTTCAGATTTGAAATATATGTACCCATGCTTTAAGAGCTGGGTGTTGGAAATTGAGGACAAAAATGCTGATGATATAAATATTCTCTTTCAACAATTATTTACTGAGCACCTACTATATGCCAGGTATTGTTCTAGGTATTGATGATATTTGTTGTTGCTGTTTAGTCGCTAAATTGTGTTGGGTTCTTTTGGAACCCCATGGACTATAGTCTATCAGGCTTCTCTGTGCATGGATTTCCCAGGCAAGAATACTGGAGTGGGTTGCCATTTCAGGGGGTTCCTTCTTCAGGGGATCTTCCCGACCCAGGGATGGATCCTGTGTCTCCTGCATTGGCAGGAGGGTTCGTTACCATTGAGTCACCAGGGAAGCCCATTGGTGATATAGCAACAAACAAAACAAACACAAATCCCTGCTCTCATGGAGCTTATCTTTTAGTTGGAGATAAGTTTTCAATAAACAAATAAGTAAAATATATCATTTGTCAGATGATGATGGGTGTCCTAAAGAAAAATAAGGCAGGGAAAGGAATAGGAAGTTCAGGGAACCGGAATATTATGGTTTCAACATAGTGGTTTGGCGGGAGAGAGGGGAGGAAGCAGTGGCTCATAGAGGTGACATTTGAGAAAGACCTGAAGGCAGTGAAGGAATTAACTGTGTGATATTCTGGGGGGAAGGCATTCCTGACAGAGGGCATAACAAGTGTAAAGTGCCTGAGATGGGAGCTTGTTCACACATGTTCTGGATCAGCAAGGAAGGGAGGAGGAAAGTGGCAGGAAATACGGTCAGAGACGTGTTCCCCTCTATTCCAGAGGGTTAATCAAATAACCATGGCATATTAAATTGATCATGATGAAGCTCCATGAATCATAATTTGTAATTAAAATTCATGAACGTCAGGCACCATAAACCAGGACCAGCTCAAAACATCACTGGTAATACCCCAATAACAGAGTGTCCTTCCTGAAAATTTCAAGAATTCCAACTGGCTGCATGTGTATATGCAAGAGGAGTTTTGCATCGTTGCCAAACATTGCCTGGCAGCCAGACTCCTCAGCAGAGAACTGAATTAGAGTCTTCTGTGAACTCCAGTTAAAGGCTAATTTTAGTTTATGACTAACAAGTTTTAGTACTCTTTTATAACTCAGTTACCATAAAAAAAAAAAAATCAAAAGTCTGGAATTTTGCATCA